TATTTTAATATAAATGGTACGTTATAGTTTGTTCTTATAAGTTACACGGAACAAAGAGGATGATGTATTCGGTATCCGAGTTTTGAAGACTACGACATTGATGACCAGACTTTCTTCGCGTATGCCCTTCATTCGTTTCCGCCACAACAAATTTGGCTACGCCTTACAGTTCGCAGATGATTCTTTACTTAGCTGAACACAGTATTCCTCTTCTTTATCTCACAAACACCTGCAGTACCGACCAAGGCGCCTGAGTTCTACGCGCGTGTTCTCGTACAAAGGAAAATATTGTGCTTAAGCTAGGCTCTTGCGCCCGTACTTCTGTCTGTACTGCAGACAGTTGTGCAGCGCGGACTTCTAGCCGCGACTTGTTTACAAATTCTGACGCAGATCCCCGCACACGCCTGCTGCGCGAGGACGTGAAAATCGCCATCTGGCCCGCAGGAAACGGCGGATAAACAAACGCACGTGTCCACGCAGTTTTCTATGGGCGCAACAACTACAAAAAAGTAGCAACTTTTACGGCTGGAGCACGATATCGTTTTTCTGTCCTAAAACAACAAACGTCACGAAAAAAGAAATAATAACAGAACGGGAGGTACACACGTGCACCCGCGTGAGCGGCCCATAAAGCAGACATTTTGAGCGAGACCTTGAGATTTAACCCACTTTCCAAAAGTCAGAAACTATCTACAATATTAAAATGCGTGCTCCGGTCGGCGATGCTCGAGCGTGGGCAGCACACAGGGACGTATACGCCCTCTGCGGTTCAATCCTCGGCGGTGGTTTGGCGCTTCGTCGGGAAAGAAAAGCGGTGCGCTTCCTCGAAAGTGACGGCGGCGAAGTAGAACGCGATACGTGGGATGCCGCGTCTCGACCCGTGTGCGGAGTGAGCGTGTGCATTGTCATTTGCGCATGGGCCATAGGACTTCGCATGCGCGCGCTTCGAGGGAGGGTCTACGTTCGCGGGGCTGGCTTCCCCTCACTAACCGGCCGTGCTCAGAGAACGAGCTAATCAAAGGGCGGGTTCGTATAGTCTGCGTCGGTTAAGCTAACTTATACTCTGTTTCATACTTAGGGTGCAACGCTGTCAAAGCTACTGGCGCGAGCGCGTGGCTTCATCTGTGGTTTCGTTTGCGCGAGAACGCGTGCAAATAATCAACGAGATCAAGCCCCATGCTCGTGCCAGTAGCTTTAAAAGCGTTGCACACTAAGCATGAAACAGAGTATAGGTTTTGTTCGCGCCGTTTTGCGCAAGCGGCAGTATAGGGAGTATTCACTGGACGCCATATTTGTGGCTGCTGTTTAGAGCGCATGCTCTAAACAGCTCCTTACTGCAGTGAATACTCCAGTATTCACCGGCGGCCATAGCTGTGTGCGCGAATGCTGAGCGCGTGCTGATGGCGAGCTTCCACAGTTCTTTTGCAACGTGCATTCCGCACCATCAAGTGTGCTGGTCTTAGCAGCCTATTGATGTGAGCTCGTTCTGAGCATGCGCGCTAAACAGCAGCCACAAATATGGCGTTCAGTGAGTACTCCCTATACGAAATAAATCGAGTGGTTCGAGGAATTAACCGTGGGAAACTGTCGCAACGCAGCGAGGACGCCAAGGTGTTCGAGACTGCAGCAAGGAGTCTAGGAGATCGCTCCTCTTTTTCGCTTTAAAGGGATGCTGAACCAAACATTTCAGTGTCTATAATAGTGGCGCACTGCCTTTCCATGAGTCATCAGCAGCCGATGTGCGCGAGCACACGCAACGAAATTGACGTCATCATATCCCCCATTCAAGCTTATTAAGCGCAAACGGTGTTTTCCCCCTTCCCCTCTCTAATACCAGGTGCCTTGAGGGCAAATAAACTAAATGAAATGAATAGTTCTCATTTAATTTAAGCTGGACCAACTCGGGTTAATTTCCAGTTTATCCTCCTTATGTAATGGTCATGGAAGTTATTTGAAATAGTCTAGAAAAGCATGAAAAAAATCGGGGAACTTGAAGGAGGTAGTAATTTCGGTACACACGTCGTGAGATTGCATTAAATCAAAGACGCTATTTAGCCTGCTCTTAACGAAATTCATAAACGCGAGAATACGGGAAGCGTAATTTAACCCCCCTCCCCCCCCCCCCCCCCCCCCTAAAAAAAAAAGAAAAAAATCCTGCGGTGTTGCAACGTTCAAGATACCCGAGTCCTACGAAATCAGTGGGTGCGGGCCATTTTGTTGCCGTGCAGCAGCCCTCCCGGATTTCTTTTTTATGTTTTTGTTTTACACATGTTTTGTTTTTGGTCTTCTCGGGGCATATATGATTTGTCGGTTTCCCTCATTTCCGCTTCTCGTGGCGCGCAGCGCTAGCCGTTCCGTGATTAGAATCTGCGGGCGACTGTTTTCCTTTTCCTGACTCCCTGAGGAGAGAGCGCCGCGGAGTCGGTTTTTCGGCCGGACTTTCTCCAGTCGCATTTTTCGCTCTCCACTTTCCTGTTTGTTTCAGCTCGCGATTAACTACAGCCAAGGCCGTAATGCGGGCCACGGGGCTTGGAAGTCAACGTCGCCTCGAATGCCTGATCAGGAAAGAACTCGTGCGCAATCAGCTAATAGCGGGAAGAGGGGGATTGTGTTCTTACTTTACCTCGTTTGCTTCTTGTTTCAGATACTTTTGTGGATTTTTCTTTTTTTTCGAACGGAAATGGTAACGCACAGTTGAAATGAAACCGCGTTGTATGAGAGTAAATATATTCCAAGTACGTGGAGAGCTCTAGCTTGTAGCACGCAATGAACGACAGGTTTTTCATTGCACTTCACTCCTTCAGTTGCCGTATACACGACGGCAAATCCTTGGGCCTAACAATTAGCGAATTATTCGAAGCAGGGTTTCGTTTTTTTATTTTTATTTAATGTTTTGCGTGCCCGATATCTTGCGATCTACATTTCGCGTAACACACCCGGCTCACGTGTTGTGTGATTCGTGCCGATATTCTTGGGTTAGTTAATAGGAAGTTTTAGAATAGCGCACGCTAAAGCTTTGCGTACGCAAAGAATAGCGTCGTCGCCACTGCGCATGCTCCGAACGCAAACCAGGTTTTGCGCATTGCGTGCGCAATTTTAGCGTGCGCTATTTCTCGGAAATAGCGTGCGTACGCAAAGAGTCTTTGCGCTTCTCCAAGGAGGATTCGTGGTGAGAAGCTGGCTAAAGCCAAGACGAGCAGAGTTAAAAAATGGCGGCTCTTAGGATTATGTCGGCGGCTGCTTTGGCGGCGTCGTAAGTGCGACGGCGGCGGCATCCTCGCGACTGCGATTTTCCATACGGGACTGCATTGTACTCGGTTTGGCAGCGATCACCGGCAACTTGATGCTTGTGACGCGTGAACATTTCTCAGCGAAGGTACGATGTACGAAGGTCAGTACACGAGACCTTTCTTGCCGAGGCGACGCAAGCGGACACAACCGGTCAACCGCTCGCATCGAATTCTCATGTTTAAGCAAATCTAAAATGATACTCTGGACCAAAAAAACTTGTTTTTTCTAAGGTTGCAGCATTTGGTGTGTGAAATAAAAATTGTGACTGTATCTTGGTGGCGTCGCAAGCGCGAGGTGCTTGGACTTTTACGTCGCGACGGAGAAACGCTGTTCTAAAACTCTCTCGCGTCGCCTGCGCTAATACAAGCGCTAAATTTAGCGCTAGCGTGCGCTAAAATTGCGTACGTTATTCTAAAAACTCCCTAAGAAGTACTCTGTACGTCGTCAAAAGTCACGTCGTTTGCGTGAGAATGTTTAGAGAGCGGGGAAGTTAAATCAGTCTGGAAAAAACGCGGCCTCCAGTGTCTGCCGCGGAGGTGCAGTTTGTCCAGTATCGCACGGCTGTGTGAAAACCTGCACTGTGGCTGCAGACAGGAACGGACGCTGGTAGGCTACGTATCGCCCCCTGTAGTCGGTGACAGGTTAAGCGGGAATCGTAAGTTCCTCTCCCCTCTTTCCACTTCAGCAGAGCGAACGCTGCGGAGAAGGCAATCTCCTCTCCTGGGTTCGGTTTGCTGAAGTGGAAAGAAGTGGGAGGAGCTTCCACTTTACTTTTAGCCTGTCACGGACTATTGATGACGAGGTGTTTTGGGGGCACCACCTCGCGGGCGCTCTCCTGTGACGGAGCTAGGATGCGAACAGACGACGCGCTATGTAATAGCTCGGAGTGGCTGTGTTAGTTCCCATCTATGCCGATTAAAAACGGTTTATTTAGTAAAGAAACGTGTATGACGTTTTTGTGAGTGATACTGCTAATGAATAGCAGCGCCTCGGAGTGTTTTTTTATATAAAAATACACACTTTAAAATGTTTAAACTTCGAATACAGCTTGCGCGGTATGCGTCAGAGCTATTCACAACCTCTCAGATTTTTTATTTTTTTTTTTATTTGTGGAGGTTTTTGTAGAAAAGGAGTCTGCATTCACCAGAATACATGACGTCCTATCATCTTAGCTGTGCAAGCGCGGAGTTCTGTTGCAAAGCGCCGCACACTTGTTTTAGCTACATGCTTGCCGATACCGACGCTTATATCCAAGTGCGACTCAACAGTTGCAGACGAGCAAATGCTTGTCAGCCAACTGACGCTTAGCTCCTTCCGTATCGAATGTGTGGCAAAGAAGTTTGTCACATCGCTTATTCTACTCGAAAGAAAAGCAGCATTTTTCATTGCTTCTTTAATTGTCGGCCGTGGTCAGGCAAATTTTTTAAATGTCGGCCATGGTAGGCAAATTCACGTCTTGTTTTTAAACAAAACTATTAAGCTTGAAAAAAAAAAAGAAAAAAAAACCTTGTGTATTACATATAATAAACTAGGGGGCCCCAACGTTGATACGGGCCCACCGAGCAGCCGGGGGCGCCGCACTCCGATTCTGCGCATACGGACTGCGTCGTCACAACTGCTGCAGGGACCCAAATCGTTGAGGCTCCCTATTCTAGAACTCTCTGCAGTTTCTAGAGCTGCTTGTAGTAACCTGTTGTTCCTCTTTGCAGTGAAGGAGAAAGTGGAGACGCTGAGCGAGCAGCTAGGCCGCGAGGCTGCTCTGCCGATCGCGGACCGCACGGGAGGTGGAGGAGGCGGCCTGCACGAGCTGCCCGACCACGTGACCGGGGAACCCGTCCCGGGCACCAAGGCCAAGGCCAAGAGGGAGTCTATGACCGGTGAGCCACGTGCGCCTTCACAATGCGTCGCGCAGACACGCCACGGGCTCGGAAGGAACGAATCGACGCACTTCCGACAGCGTTCAGTGGTTCCCCGAAACCGCAAAAGGGGAAACGATTGATTAAAGGGATGCTGAACCGAAATCTGAATTCCCCAAAACACGTGGCAAAAGCGTGCAACGGGATGCTAAAACACCAAAACATCACTCATACAGCGATATCTCGAACGGATGACCGTTTTTTTCAAGAAAAGAGGCGCATTTGGCAGGAATGTTGACGTCATGTTTCTCCGAGAAGGAGAGGGAACGGCCTCGCGTCTTCTCCGCCTCGTGGCCTTGAGGGAGCGAAGCGAAGAGAGGAGGAAACTAGGTATCTTGACTTCACGCGCCTCGTCGGCCTGGTTCAATCTCGACTTCTTTTTCCCGAAATACGGCCGTCCATTTGAGATATCGCCTTACTAGTAGTGTTGTAGGGATTGTAGCGTCCCGCCTACATCTCCAGCATTGTTTTTTTGAAATCCAAATTTCGGTTCACCACCTCTTTAAGACTTCAGGGGAAGTTCCTACCACTAGACCTATTGTACACGGTACTGAGATAATAATAATTATTATTATTATTATAGTATTTACAATTACTTAAGGCTAAACTGTAATTAATTACATTTACAATTCTATACAAGTAAGTGACCGTTAAACAAAACATAATCCTTGTCTTTCGTAGCATTACTTTCAACATTACTGTACTCAAGCGCTAAATTCGACCCTGTATCGGCCCCTCTGGGCTAGCAGTATCAATAAACAAACAAACAAGTAAGAATCACAGGGAAGATGGTTATTGAATTGTTATTAACGATTTATAACGAATCCGTTACTTAAACTTACAAATATCTAGGTGTTCTCTTCTGACCTATAATGGAAAACTCACACCGAATATATCGTTAATAACAGTAACCGCATGCTTGGATATTTAAGACGTAACTTTTCTCTAGCTCCATCATCATTAAAATTACTACTTTATAAAACACTGTTGCGACCAAAGCTTGAATATGCATGCTCGGTCTGGGATCCCGGTGCAGAAAGCCTCATATCAGCGCTTGAAGCCATCCAAAACCGGTCAGCACGTTTTATATTATCAAACTACCATCGTACATCAAGCGTCACATCCATAAAAGCTAGTCTCTCTCTGCCCCTTCTTTCCACTCGTCGCACTATCTCCCGTCTCTGTTTATTTCATAAAATTTACTATGCCAATTCACTCTTGAAAGAGCAACTAATCAGTGACCCCATCTACGTATCATCTCGCCTCGATCACTGCTGCAAAGTTGGTATACCCACTTCCATATCAAATTCTTTTTTCAAATCTTTCATCCCAAAAACATCTCGTGAATGGAACGGCCTTCCCTCATCCATTGTGATTATTAGCGATTTTGTTCTCTTTAAAGAAGCACTAACAATTTACTATTCATGATCTGTACCGGACTAACCATATTCAGCGTTTTTGTACTTCCGTTGCCCACCCCCTCTGTAATGTTTCGGCCCTGAGGGTATAATAAATAAATAAATAAATAAATAAATATGCAAGATTTACTTTACAATTACTCTAGCAAATATGTGAATGACTAATAAATGTAACGGATTACACGTCACTAAGTTACTTGTAACGGATTACGTGCAAGTCTACCACCACCCCTGTCCACTTTGGCAGAGCAAATGCTGGAGAGGAGGTTGCTTCCCCTCCAGCGTTCGCTCTGCTAAATTAGAAGCGGGTGGGTGAAGTTTCCTCTAATAAATAAATAAATAAATAAATAAATATGCAAGATTTACTTTACAATTACTCTAGCAAATATGTGAATGACTAATAAATGTAACGGATTACACGTCACTAAGTTACTTGTAACGGATTACGTGCAAGTCTACCACCACCCCTGTCCACTTTGGCAGAGCAAATGCTGGAGAGGAGGTTGCTTCCCCTCCAGCGTTCGCTCTGCTAAATTAGAAGCGGGTGGGTGAAGTTTCCTCTTTTCACCCCCCCCCCCCCCCCCCCCCTCCTTTCTGTCGACACATGAAATGGTGTAGTCACCATATATGCCATGGTATAGAACTCTCTCGCTACAGAAGGGATATTGTTGCTGTTTAGCACACCGTTCGGTTGTTGAGAAAGTTTATCTGCGGTTGCAAGGGTCGTTCAGACGTGGGACAACACAGAGTTGACTGAAGAGCGAGACAGGGCTGTCGCGTGATAACTTAGATTTCGCTAGTCTGAAGCGGAGTGCTCGTTTGTGTAGGAGAGACCTCTGTAGACGTCGACGCGGTTTGTCTGAGGGATTTTGATTCTCAGCCGATATGCTGGAACTTTCTGCGAACTTTTCCTTCAGCGTATCTAGTTGGACAATATATTTTCGATATGCACCGAAAAAAAAAAATGAAAAAAAAAAAAGTGAGACACACATGTGTTGCAAGCGCAGACTTCATTCGTTTACATTATATTGGGGAAGTGAACGAGAGTAATGCGAAAGAATGGGGGCGCTGCCGAGCACAATGAGCTAAAACACGAAATCGCAAATATATGGTTGTGCTACTTTAAAAAAATGCGTGGACAGGAAGGTATGCACGACGTTTCGGGCGGACGCCCTTCTTCAGGTGATAGACTCGAAAAACGGTAAGAAACAGGCAAGAAAAAGGGCAAGAAATAGCGAGGTTCGATCACTCGATGGCGACTGGTTTCGATTTTCTAGTTACGGCGGTCCGAGAAAGAAACACGAGGCTAAGATACAGGGCTGTTGCTTCGCTCGTCTTGTCTTGAGGAGACAGGGCGGTGGGCGGGGTCTCCGAGCGGTGGCGTCGATTAACCCCATCTGATAAGGCGGTTCCAGGCCGGAGCTGCCGCGGAAAGGTATTCCAGACGAAGCGTTAGGCCTTTTTTCCCTGTGATTAGTTTCGCGCCGTTCCTTTGATTGTTGTCTGCATGGAGGAAAGATTCCGGACATTTAGCCGCGTTTTTTTCCTCCGTTCTGCCGCAACGTGTCGATATCGCTTTCTCACTACACCATTTTTTTCGAACGAAAGACAGTTCCATTGTATACGCCCCGTGTTTCTTTACAGCAGTTGTCACTTGGCACAGTCCTTTCTTATGTCGCTACAACAGGAGGAATACAGGGGAACAAACAGCCAAGCTTGACACTATAGTTCTTTGATTTTTTTTATCAATGAGGAAAGTGTGGAAATCTCGCTTCCGGGTGCATCTACTTCGCTACATAGTGTATGCATGTCGTGTTCAACGCTCTGGAGAGACATAATTCGTTAGCTAGTACCGCGCGTTTCTGTCGTTTACAACAGCCATATGGTTTACGTTGTTTGCTTTTCCGAGATTGGGAATCTGGTCGCCCCATCTGCGGTCGATGACAATTCGGTCGGGTGGCGCACATCGGCGTGGACATCTGAGAGTGGCTGTGGCCCTGTCAACTTTCAAATGGCGACGCCAGTCTTTCGCCACGTATTAACGTAGGGAACTTACGATACGGCCGGCCAGGAGGGGAGAGAGCGTGACGTAGAAGAAACACACGGTGTTTGATCGAGAAAGAGAGAGAGAGGAGCATTCGGCCAACAGAGTTTAGATATGAAACACGAGGTGTTGAGGGAGATGACAACTGGAGTCGAAGAGTCGACCCAATGCTCTTCAGAGGGAGCATCCTGAGTAAGAGAAAGAGTAGAGGGAGTAGAGCGGTAGATCTTCAAAGAGATTCCGAGCAAGTAACAGAGAGAGAGAGATGTTCAGAAATTGAGCAACTGTGTTTGAGCAGAGAACCGATGAGAGCTTTATAATTAGATAAGGCAGAAACCTTCTAACTTAAGAGAATAAAGAGTATTTTTTTATATCTATGCTGTAGATATTTTGTAAATACACCTGTCTATTAAATCAAGTTATTATAGTTGTACGTTACTGTCCTCCTCACTGCAAGAAGAAAACGCCCTGGACCAGCTCATCAGGTATCGCGACCTCGACGAGGGAAACTTCAAATAACGAGTCAGTAACAACAAACGATAGAACTACAGTCATATTGTTATAATGCACATATATACGTCGCCTATTGTTCAAGTCCTAGCCTTAGTTGAGTGAAGTAGAAGCTAAAATGTGCACGCGGTTACCAGACTGCTGTGTGTGCGAAACATTGTTTTACATATGGGTCTGGTCCTTTTTGGACAAAAAAAAAAGATTCAAGGACAATGTCCATGATGACCACGCAGTGCTATCTGACCGTAGTGCCCGTGTGGCCATTGCCTCAAGGTTTGTGTTCAAGTCGAATGAGAGAAACGGACGCTTTGTTTCAACCATGTGGAGGCGGTCCAATCGTCCGAACTTCTTTTTCACAACGGAAACAGACGTCCCCACGTGCCTAGGTCCCCGCACCTAAAGCAACGTGTCTTCATCGCTGCGGTGTTGAGAGAATTGTGTAAGTGTGCATTAGAACTTACGTCTGTTGTGATGTCCGTGACGTGTTTGTTCATACACCCATGGAACGATTTCACTTAGCGTTTTAGGAATTCACATGGAGTGTACGCCTTGTGTTATTTGCTATAGGCTGCGAAACCGGAAAGGATTGGTCGCGTTTTGGAGAAGACGGGTGTGCCAGTCGGACAATTGAAGCGCGTAACGTCTCTTCGGATGCCCAGTCTCCAGCATGCACAATTGTTCCCTTGCATCGTGATTTTTTATGCGTGTACACGCTTGAAGCTCACGAGATGCTGAAGTGGCATCGAAGATAGTACGTTCGCGCGTGAGGCGGGGCCTTCTGACAATCTTTTGCTAAATTAACCAGGCACCAAGAGCAGTTACACAAGCTGCGCATGCTGGCGTCTGCTAGAATAACTGTTGTAAAGCAAAACTCTAAGATAAATGGCATTTTGCCCGTGCATTTGTCAACGCCCTATTTCGATTAAAGAGTTTTAGTTGTTTTTTTGTTTTGTTTTTTTGGTGGGGGGATTTTTAGAATTTAGAAATGT